CAACGTTGAAAGACTATTATATATGTCTCAAAACTTTATGCAAGTATATAGCATGCATGCATGCAACAAATATTGTCGCAATATTAATCCCCATGCATGGACTATAGTAGTGTAGTTTGTCAAATCTTTCGTACGTATTGATGATACTGCCCAAACGTCTTGCTCTGAAAAGGCCTAGACTTGAGAAAACCTTTTTTATTTTCTGCCTGCAAATAATTAATTTACATACGTGTGTGGTGGAAATTGTATACTCAGAAGCTATGAGTATTGTTTTGCTGGATGTGAGGAGAACGTACATGTGTTGCCGTCACACATAATTAAGTATGTAATGATATCTCAGCATGTGTGACAGACTAAGATGGTTTTGTAGTATTCAATCGACTAAAAACAGTGCAAGATTAAGTTTAGTCAACAATATAATTATTATATTTAACAATATAATATTTTGCTAATGTCATCAAATATTATCTTGCTCATGCATAATAATAAGGGAGTTTCACTAAAACACCTTAAATAGGGGCTGAAATTATAAAAGAATCCAACACCCAAAACACTTTATAAACACACCCAAAACGCATCATTACACACACTCAAAACTCATTTATAAACATACCCAAAAATATACAATTGTTGATTTTTGAGTTCATTTTGGGTGTATTTCTATGTTTAAATAGTATTTTGATTTTTTTTATAAATACATGTATAGGATTGAGTTTATTTTATAAATTTGTATAATAATAATTTACAAAGCTTCAAGACGAAAACAAATCTGGCCTCCTTTCCACTAATTTTAATTATCTTTTGTAAAATGAAAATAACGGAAGTAATTAAGCATTTTCCTAACCCAGCTGTACCTGAAAGATCGATATGGTGCGTGGTCGTGGTCGGTTTAGAGGTGCCTTAGTGGTGTTGCAAGACACGTGTCACTTGTAAGCCAGCTTAGGGTGATTTCCAGGATGTTTCTACACTGTCCTTGATTAACGGTCTTAAGACCGTTCTTCAGCCCATTTAAATATTCAAATTAGTGCTTTCTATTTTGGATTTAGTTCTAAACTTTTCTGTCACCTAAAGGCTAAAGCCAAACCTCTTTACCTTGATCTCAAAAAAGGTTTGCGACCCCCCCATTTACAAAAAAGAGTTTATGAAAGAGTATTGTAATGATTTTAATTCCTACTTTTCTGTAAGAATAATTTAAATTTGTGATTTCCTCACCTTTATTAAACATACATAATAAAAATTTGAGTTTAACATTAAAATAAGTAATTAAATATCTTCAAAATTAATAATGCAATCAACTAAGAAGAGTAGTTCATCAAATTCTAATTCCGGAATTTCCCCATCTGAATTTCCTCATTGCAAAAAAAATAAAATAATAAACATTTTTAAAAAAAAACAAAAAAAAAAGGGGTTTCGTGTGAAATGGAAAGATTTTATTCATGTTTGAACTACGATTTCTAACCGTTAATTAAATATGAATTATCATGTTTATCAAGAGGCCAAATTTAGGACCATAACTCTTGAGATAGAAACTAGACTGTTACACTGTCACTTATCAAAAGTTGCCAACTTGACAAATTATAATCATGCCATTCCCACGATTTACGAAGAAAAAATGTCACTCGCATTAGGGGGAGACTCTAGCGTCCAGCTCTGATACGTGGGCCCCTCTACGTGGATATTCCTCCGACACTGTACAAGTAGGCCCGCCCCGAACATCTAAGCCGTTCGTTCCTCCTCCGAATGATCCAACGGTTCAAACCCCTTTAGAAAAACGCGTCCGTTACTCTCCCTCCCTCCCTCTATATATGTATATCTCCATGCATCATCACTCAATCCACCAGGACTACCAATTACTTCTCACTACAAACACAACATTTTTCTCAGACTTAATCCCTCACCATAATTAAGTACATAATTAAGACTTGATTATAATTATAAATCAAAATGGCGTGGATTGCTTCTTTGAAGATTGTGCTAATTTCGAGCGGCGTGGTGGCGTTGGCGTGGGCTATGAAGCTCTCCGTCCCACTGGCGATGGAATTCGTAGCCTCTCACTTGCCGCTCGTGTGCGCCTCCTTCCGATCCTTGCTCAGGCCTCCGTATATCTACGTTCTCATCAACGGCATCATCATCACCATCGTCGCTTCCTCGAGGTTCCACCACGACCGCTCGCCTCAGCCTAAGCCTCAACCGGAAGAGTCTGAATCGACCGTCTTGGAGTTGGAGACGCCGGCGGTTTACGAGCAGCGGAGATATCTAGGGCCTCTAGTTCATGAGGAGGTGCACGAGGAGAGGCCTGCGGTGATCAATGACTCTGTAGAAGCAGAGCCTGAGCCGGAGGTTGAAGATGTTCGTGTAGACGAAGACGAGGTTGTGATCTCGAGCTCCACGTGGACGCCGCCGAAGAGTGTGATGAAATCCAACGAGATTGCTTCGCTGGAGGTTGAAGATGTTCGTGTAGACGAAGACGAGGTTGTGATATCGAGCTCCACGTGGACGCCGCCGAAGAGTGTGATGAAATCCGACCAGATTGCTTCGCCGGTGGAGAAACCTCTGGTTTCTGTGAGATTCAGCCACCGGAAACCGGCTAGATCCAGTCCTGAAGGTATTTAATTCTCAATTTCGTGGTCATAATTTTCTGTTTAATTAATATAATCGTAATTAGGGTCTAGGTTTAGAGCTTCGTTTGCCGGTAGTGAAGTAACGGTGTTGAAGTTTGAAAACAAAGTAGAGTTCCAATGTGGCGTGCGTATATGTCTATTTCGTACACGGTGCGATTGAATTGTCTATGACACCCTTTTAAATGAAGGGTTGAAAAGTAAAAAATGCTCTGTCTCATAAGGGTACAGTGGTCATTTACCGATTTATTAACCGGGAAACATTTTGCCAGGTGGGAAGCCGTTGAGAGTAGCGAAGCCAAAACGGCACGACACATTGGAGAACACGTGGAAAGCGATAACGGAAGGGCGTTCGATGCCGTTGAGCAGGCACATGAAGAAGAGCGAGACGTGGGAGAATCACGGCCGTCAAGTTCAACTCAAGGTTGACTCAGCAGTGGACACGTCAGCGGTGCTGAACTCAGAGACGTTCAAGGACTGGACGAATCAGCAGCAAGTGACAGCATCGGCTGGGGGCGTAGGGAAGCTGAGGAAAGAGCCGTCGCTGAGCCAGGACGAGTTGAACCGCCGAGTTGAAGCGTTCATAAACAAGTTCAATGAGGAAATGAGGTTGCAGAGACAAGAGTCGTTGAATCAATACATGGAGACGGTCAAGCGTGGAAGCCATTAATCACATATATGGTCAAAGTTTTTTTTTTTTTTTTTTTTCTCCTAATTTAGTCAAAAGAGATTTTTAAAATTAGATTGAAATTAATTTTAATCAAAAAGAAAAGAAAAAGATGGGTGTTACAAATTCACAATTATTGTTTTTTTGGGGTTGTTTCTGTTTTTCAAAGTTCCATTTGATTCATAATTCATGTAACAAAGTTATATAGTCATAGAAAAGGAAGGAAATATATATATATATATATATATATATATAAGTCAGTCAGTCTCTCTGTCTGTAAAGAAAGAAACCTTTTTTCTTTTCTTCTCTTTTTGGTTGTATTGTAAAGGAAGAAACTTTAATCTATTTAAGTATTTTTGTTGTTGTTGTAACTTGTGTATATCTTCGTCTTGATTGTGTTTTTTTAGTTGTCAAATTCTTTTTCTCTTACTTTAGTCTTTTGGCAAAACCATAATTTTGAATTGGTTTAGTGAATAAAAAACTTAAAATTAGTGAGAAAACTCCGGTCCGAGACTTCTGGAAACTCACTGGTCCATAATTATGATTAGTCAAAATAGTTAAGGGACTGAGATCATCCACAATGATGCTCTCTATTTCTTAGTTAAAATTTAGCTAAAAATTTAAGAAAGTTATTTTAGGAGCTCTCTAAAAAATTTCAACTCCAACCATACTCCATAATTTGGAGAGTCATAAATGCTATAACTCTTTTTTGATTGGTCCATCTCTATTAAAAAATAAAATAAAAAAATAGTTAACATTAAATAAAGGTTTGAAATACTCATTAAATAAAGCAATATTAAATTATAGGGAATCACTAGGAGTCCTTTCTCTCTTCTCAGATTTAGGAGCTCCTAGAGGACTTCCTATTTTAGGAAGTGGATAGGGAGCGTGGTTGGAGTTGTATTTTTATGATTCCTCCCTAAAATTTGTCTAAGGAGGTGGTTTAGGGAGCCAATTGTGGATGCTCTCAGAGTCTAAACATGGCTTTCCATCTGTCTAAATTATATGGGCCCTACCCTATAGTTTTGTGTGAAGCTCATTAATTTATAATTGATTTGCTTGGTTGGTTCTTATCCAAACCCACAATGAATGACGCATTATTTTTCTTGTTGAGAACTTGAGAATGAGACGAGTTATTTACCTTATGCTTAATTACATCAATGCCCTTAAAATTTTAGTTAAATCTCATTTTATCCCCTCAAATCTAAGATGATACACTTTCATTCATTGATCGAGGTTTGATAATCCACTTTATCATCCGTTGTCAACTTCATTCAAAAATCTGTTAACTTCGATGATGTGACATGGATGTTTTTGTAATTTCATATACTTGGATTATTATCCACCAATATAGATAAAAACATAATTAAATACGCTAATAATTAAAAATTAAATAAATACTTAAAACTACGTTTAAAAAAGGATAAAATGCTGAAAACCTAACAGTCACCACCATCACACCCAAGCAAGACACAGCAACCACAACCATCTCTCCGGGAGCTACTTCTTCAAGAAGTGTTTTTTTCGTCAATCTTCAAGAAGTTCATGGGATAAATGTATATAACAATTGAAAGCTCATCATTGGAAACTTGTTAGTTTTGTGGGTGACCATTGGACTAACCATTAAAGCATTCTAATTTCCCCATTTTTAGATGAAGTTGACAGCATGGGGTAAAGTAGGTCACCAAATCTCGATCAAAGGATGAAAGTGAGTCATTTTGAGTTCGGGGAAGCAAAGTGAAATTTGACTAAAGTTTCAGGGAACATTGGTGTAATTAAGCCTTTATCTTAGTGGAAAGAGTTAATTTCAATTTAGTACCTTGAATTCTTACCTTTAAGGCACATTTGCTCCTGCATTCTTAATTTTAAAGATTGCATACCCTAAACTTTTCAATTTTGTGCAATATGGTTCCAGCGTCAACTTCATCGTCAAAATTTTTGTTAATTGCTTGCGTGACAAGTTTGGGTCTCACCTATTCACTTATTTCAATGTCAGTTGAAGGGAGTCAAAAAACAATTTGGGATTAATGCATGCAATGTGTTCTTTATGGACGAGAAGATGCCAATTACCTGAAAATACTCTTCGACTGACATCGAAATATGTGAATAGGTGAGACCCATGCCTGCCATGCAAGCAATTAACGGAAATTTTGATGTCAAAGTTAACGCCGGAATCAGATTGTAAATAATTGAAAAGCTTAAGATATGTAATCATTAAAATTGAGAGTGCAAGAGCAAACATGTCTTAAGGGTGAGAGTTCAGGGTACTAATCGAAATTAACCCTTATGGAAATGTAGTAACTTCATTCCGTTGAACCTCTTTCAAAATCTGCAAACAAGAAGAAGCCCCTTTCAGACTCCGCTACCCAGCAGTAACATTTTGAGTGTGAACAGAAAACTACAGCTACTTTCTTGCATAAGATATACAGGTCCAAGATACAAACCAGAATACAGGGGGCTCAACAGTTAGTCGACATATGCATCAAAATGTTCTTAAATCAACCGCCTCGTTTTAGCCTTTTTATTCTCTCAAGGGCGCCAATGTGGCTGTCACCGTCCTTGGTCACAGCAGCACCATCTCCGCCCTCATCTTTTTCAGCCTCCTTTCTCTTGTTAGCCAACTCTCCAAAAACAGCAGATGGGACCTCCTTTTGTGCAATTTCAACCCCTTCATCATCTTCTGAATCACTTGCATCGGGTAGCTCAATGTCTTCATGATTTGCAGCAACTTTGATCCCTCCGTCCGTCTGTGATTCTACTCCAGCACTCACAAAGCCCACTTTTCTGTTACCATCTTTGGTGGTAGTACCGTTAGCCACTGGTGCCAACTGCCTCTCTAAAGCAGCCATTTCATCTTCAGGAACTCCAGCCTGTTTCAACTTGTCTTTTGCCTCATCCATGTTCAACCTCTGATCCTTTTGCATCATATACTCGGGTAGTATAAAATGTGTCTATAAGAACAAAAAAAAAAGAGAGAGAGAGAGATTTGAAATGAGCAATTGAGGAATTCTTTTTCTAAGACCTCAAAAGAACCTCTACCTAGGTTGCTGACAAAAATTAAGGGTAACAAATATTTAAGATAAAAACAAACCTGGCTATAGCTTGCAGAAACACTTCGCTTAATTCGAAGCATCTCTCGGAAGGTATCTTCATTTCCATGTTGCACCTCAAACTCATGCCATTTGTTCCAGAAATCTACATCAGATCGTGGATCCGAAAACTGTGATGCAAATATATATACCCCCCGAGCACGATCAATTTCTCCTAAGCTCTTCTCAAGCTCAGCATACTTCAAGCACATTGTCTTCACATCTTTGTCTGGAAGACCGGATTCTATTGCTTGCTCATATATCTCCCTTGTTTTGGGGATGCCAAATATCTCCGCAGCACGGGCAATGTAGATTTCATACATGCTCAATTTCTCATGGTTTGGAACAGCCTTAGTTGCTTCATCATAGACCTTCATAGCGCGCTTTGCTAGACCATAATCCTCCTCCAGCTTCGCAAATTGAAGATACAGAGGTTTCTTTGCATCAGCAGGCGCCTGAAATACCATTTTCAGGTTAGTAACACAATAAAATAATGATGTACAAAGGCAACATTCTAGCATGTTGAACTCAAACCTAAAAAAGATTTCCAAGTTGTGAAGAGCGTGCGTGCACACACACACACACACACTAATACACATCAGTCAGTAGAGTGATTGGCATCTGCAAACCAGAAGGAGAATCTGGACATGCAAAAAAATACAAGATCTAGCAAGTCAGGCTAAAGGTAGGTTAACATGTTGATTAAAATTAAGTAATTTCCCATGTGCTCCAGATATCCTCAAGTTTCAACATTTATTTTGGTATGTTATGAACCTAAGACCTACCACGTTTTCTCACAATTGAATTCATGGAAATAACACAGAGGAAGGTCCTTGCACACTTCAAAACAAACTTGGCTTATAATAATCAGGGTATCCTCCCATTCATCCCAAGACAGAGTAATAGAGTATTTACAATCGTAGTGTGAAGACAACAAGATAATTATTGGACACAACAAACACAGTGACGCAAGTAAACAGTGTTGCAGGCCCCATTGATTGTCAATGAAACGTAGACCACAAGCAGACATACAAAAACCAATTGCAATTAGACCTCAATATCTAGTCAAGTTCACCTTAAACAATGGATAGTAGGATGCAAGAATGATGTGACAAGACAGAATCCCAATAATCAACTTGCTAATCAGATAAAAGTATATTCATTAACCAAACCAAGGTGAAAACTAGTCATGTTCAGCTCAGATAAACCGTGTAATCCTCTACTAATTGTCAAAAAATCAAGAATCCAGTGCTTTAGAAATACCAGAGTAACTTATATTACCAGAATAAAGTCTATAGGGACTGATAATGTTCTTACCGCTTGAACAGCATCCTCAAATAGCTGTCTTGCACGTTCCAGTTCTTTCTTCCCATATCTCTTTACAAATTTAGAGAGATATGTAACCCATATGTCTTTGACATGTGGGTACTTAAATATTTTGGTACCTTTTTCATACACCTTGAAAGCATCTTCAAAGTATTTATGCTCCTGCACAGTCAAATTATCATTGTATGATAAATTGTCATCATAAGATATTTATAAGTAAAAATTCAAGAAAAGAGCAATGAAAGGAATGCCATACCTCCAGAAGCAATGCATAATTGATTATGATTTGTGGCGTGGCTATCTTCAAATCCAGGATCCTCTCATAAACAGCCCGGGTGGACTCCAATTTACCCAGGCTCTCCTCTAAATCCACGTAAAAAGTCCAAATTCTTAAGGACTTATGCAGCTTCATCTGAACCGGTTGGTTCCCATCAGCCGCCACTGCAAAAGCATAAGCCAAAGGTTAGAAGTTTAGTTATAGCTCCACAAATGCCACATAAGTTATAGTTCAACATTCAAAACAAAGAAGTGAGAAATAAAATGAGGTGTCTAAACCAAAAATAGAAAAAGAATGGGAAATGAAAAATAATAATAATAACATAAGCTCAGAGAAAAATTTATTTTGAGCATTTCTGGAACTGAAATTTAGCAATATCAAAATTAAAACTACAATGATGAAGGCACTTGGAAGTCCATGACAATTGTAGATCTCAAATACATTATTTGGAATAATTATTAGAGATAAGACCAAACAAATCAAAGCAAACACCTTTAAATTTATAACAAAATATATGGCTTCAAAGTATAAAAACAATAGCATAACAATTATCTGCAGGATTCTACGCTGAAGATATATCAGGAAGTGTTTCTATGTTTGAGATAACAGAACAATTAAAATACTGAATTACTCAAGCTTCTTCCATTTTTATTATTTTTTTATTTCCAACTCACACACTCTAATAAAATGTAGTAACATACTCGAAAGTAGCAGACCAGGACATAAAAAAAACACACAGAAAACCAATTAAAGATGATACCTCTGCGTTTCACCTCAACGGATGGCTCTGCGGTGGCCCGCCTCATTAGTTCCAGTGCTCCTTTGAAATTCTTATGCCTCAATTCCATTTCTGCCCACTCACACCAAAGACTAGCCAAATTATCCACTGTCTTGTAGTTCACCTGAACTGCTTTATCAAAAATCACTCTTGCATTTGCAATATCTTTGTGATTCTCGTACAACTTAGCAAACGCAACCCACAACGTATGGGGCTTCCCCACCGCTTTCATTGGATCAACTGTCCTCACCGCCTCTGTGTAAGTAAGTATCTGCTTCGTGGGATTGCCCTCAAAGAGCTTCACTCTTCGGTGCCACTGCTCTACATTATGGGGATTTTGTCGTAAAAGAACACTATTAGCCAGTATAGGTCTTCTATCCATAAGATGCTCCAATCGAGCCAACCTCAAATCTACATCCTTATCATCATGTAACCAAAACCCATTAAGCATTTTCTTCTCAAACTCAGCCAAAGACAAGTTAACATCCAATCGAAGATCTTCTTCCTCCTCATTTCCATCCTCTTCTACTCCCTTTTCTTCTTCCTCCTCTTCATCACTCAAATCCACTGTCTCCATCTTATGGACAAGCATACTATCTTCAAACCCAGCATAAGAATCAAAAATTACACTAAAATCTCTTACCGTTACCACAGTAGTCATACCCTCCTCAAATATATCCCTAGCTTTCTCGTGCAAATTCCTCCTAATGTAATAGTCCGCCAGTGAGGTCCATAACCGTCCCACCTCGTCTGTAAATTTCCTAATCCCACCTCTAATAATAGCATCTACATTGAGGCCTGACACCTCCGTAGCATGCTTAGTAAGCAAATCACACAATTCCAGCCACAGCCTATGTTTCGTTTTCCCCTTTATCGAATAAAACTGATCATCATTCAAAACTGAAGCCAGCCTCTCGGCGGCCTCTTGCCAAAGACTAGAATTTATCAAGAACTCAATGAAATCTTCAATATGGGTAGGGTCATATTTCAAATACCTGCGATAAACCCGAAGCGAGGTCTCAATTGGGATACCGGTTTGGCTCACGAACTTCAGGTACGGGTCCCAAATGCGGTCGTGCTGCGTCACCGGAAGAGCACACAGAGCTCTGTCGAAGGTCCGGCGAGTCCGAGTGACCAACTTCTGCTCCGTCAAAGTTTGCAAGTACATAGTCCAAATTTTAGGCATTTTGTGCATAGTAACCAGGGCTCTTTCAAAAGTGTTGTTGAGGGTTTCATACTGGAAGTGAGTGATGGGTAAATTGCGAACAAGCTCGAGGCGTTCGCGAAGGTAAGCGTTCCAAAGCTTGTAGCTCCCAGGAAGGGCCTTGAGTGCTCGCTCGTAGATTATAAAACGCTTCTTGAATGGAGATTCGGATCGAGCGATGAGGTAACGCCACCATAGCTTGAGGCTAAAGGGGTTTCGGAGAAGCTCTTCTTCGTAAAGAAGGTCGTCTTGGGATGGGTATAATTCCTGAGAGATCGACATGGACGAAGTTGCAGACATAAGAGTTGCTAATCCCTGGGGAAAGTTCGGGTATACAATAATCGGGAATTTTGGGTTTGAAAAAACCCTAAATATGAGGGAGGATAGGAGGGAACACAAGCTTCGATCTACCGTTAACCGGAATTGGAATTTGTTACGAAAGATAAATTTTTTTTTTTTTTTTTTTTTTTTTGGGTTGGAGCGAAAGATAAATAATTAAGAAAATACTCGTGTACTTTTCTTCTCACTCGATTTATAGAGTTGGAATTTTTATTTTTTATACAGATATTTTATTTGTCAAGTAGAATTATGATTGACTTAATTATGTACATGTCCTCTGTGCTTTCAAATTTATCATAGATTACCACCTGTGTTTGTAAACGTCTCAAAATACTCCCCAACCTTTTAAAAATCGTCTCATGTTACCCGTTCCGTCAGTTTTTTTTGACGTTCCGTTACGAACGTTAGGCCCCACTTCCTTTTTTATTCTTTTTTTCTCCTCCTTCCCCCATTCGAGAACAGCAGCCCCTCCAGATTTTCAATCACTTATTTACCCTTCAAAACTCAGAAATCTCTTCTAACCAACACAACTAACAGCAAGAACAGCTCGAGATGTTGAAAAACCATACATGGATCGAAAAAAATTGTGCTCGGAATCGCCCGAACGAGCGACGAAGATTTTGGGTAAAAACCAGCCAATTTCTTGCTTGTTCTAGCAATCCAGACTGCGGTTGGCAGCAGCTAAGATGTGAGGCTGGTAGAGGATTGGCAGCGGCTGAGATGTGAGGCTTGTAGAGGACAACGTGCTGGTTCTTTTGATACCCATGCTGTTGCTTAGGGTGGCCGGAGGAGGAGATGGAGGCCCAAAAACAGTTCAGATGAACAATAACAAATGGGAGGGGCTACTGTTCTCGAACAGTAATAAAAACTTAACGAAACGTCAAAACAACTGACGGAACGAGTAACGTGAGACGATTTTTAAAAGATTGGGGGGTACTTTGAGACGTTTGCAAACACATGTGGTAATCTGAGACAAGTTTGAAAGCGCAGAGGGCATGTACATAATTAAACCATTAGGATTACATGGATCGCCGCAAAAATAATAATAATAATAATAATCCTTACTTGACATGGAATACAACTCTATGAATGTCATTTCCTCTGTTTATTAGGGTTTTCGGGGAACTTGAGTGGGGTATAAAATATAAAAATCGAGTAATGAGACAAATGTGATGAATTTTTCATGTATAGATCCCCTACCTAAACCCTCCTTGTTCTTTTTTTTTTTTGAATAGTTGGTATCATGATTCTCCATTTAGATTTATACCATTAACGTTGTAGTTTTGGTAGGCACTAATTTGGCTAACAAGTTCATATTTTGTATTAGATTATTGGGCTCATAATACTTCTTTCAAGTTCTAAAAAAATTGATATTTTTGTTATGGGGTGAGTCAGAAAACCTAATTCAACGAAAGTGGAGACAAGAATCCACAATTTGAATATTGCGAAGATAAAAAAAGGCATAACGAGAGAATACTTGATGAGGATGGGAATATAAATGGCATACTCGCTCCAATTTGCGTCATTATCATCCCTAAATGTAACCATTTTGACCCCCAAAAAAAATGCAACTCTAAGTATTACTGTTCTAGGCTAGAAGCCCATTAAGATTAGGCCCATTAGCAAGCCGACCAAAACAAAACCATATTCTATGTTCTAAATGGGCCTATGGAGGTCCATGATGATAATGTTCAGAAAGTGACGTAAACGACGCGGTCTGGGAAACAGAGAAAAGAAAGAAGGCCTTGTCGCTTTCCAACTGCTACACGGAGATGCCGTAAGCAGCAGCAATCATATACGCTAACGCACACGCAACCTCCATCTCTCTCTCTTCTCTCTCTTCTCTGTGTCATAATATCAGACGTTCTCCCTCTTCTTCTCCGAGAGACAGATATACAACGCTCTGTGGCGCGACCCCTCTCTCGAGTTTTTTTCTTTTTTCTTTTTCTTTTTGTAATTTCAGCAACCCACCTCAGGAGCAGCCCCAAGCTCTCTCCTTTTCTCTATCTGAGTTTCTCTTCGGTAATCTCTCAGCTCTTGGATTTAGGTTACATTTCTGAGCTCGTTTCATTTGGGTGCTGATTTATGCTGGCGGTGTTGTTTGGATGTTGTAATTCCTTCTTTTTTCTTTTTAATCTGCGGGCATGGCCTCTTGAGATGACAAGGCCATGGCGTCCATGTTTTCGCAGTTGAGATTGGGGGCCATGGCTTTCATGTTTACATAGTGAGACTGATTTGCTTTTCGGTGTGTGTTTCTGTTGCCAATTTAAGATACTATTTGGTTTGTGTACTGGGTATGCCATGGATGTGTTTTTTTTTCTTTTGTCAATTTTCTGTGAAGACCTAAACATTCATGTATATTTAGGTTCCAGGTGAACCAAGGTCTCTCTTAGATTTCAGAGTTTTTATTGAGCATAATGGAGTCCAAGACATTATACCTATGTTTGTGGTGCTCAAGCTGAAATATTTATATGTAGGGTGAGATTTTGAAAATCAGGGTAGTTTTCTTGGTGTGTGTTTTAGGTTGTGATCTGGAACTTTTCGCTGTTTAGCTAGTTCCATTATTCTAGCATGCTTCTTACTTGCTAGGATTATACATTTTGCTTTGGTTTTCCCATGACTTGGATAAAATTAGAGACCTATGTTTGACATCTTTGTTCTCTGGCCAAAAGGAAAAGAATATAAGTCATCATTTTTCTTAAATAAAGAAGTGGATCCATATCTAAATTGAATTTTGCAACACACTTTATTGACTGGAGTTTTCTGTTTTGTAGGCTAGTTAACTGTAATTCTGACCATCAAAGACAACTGTAATTTATGGTATGTTATGAATCTTTGTATTGAACTTTGTTCTGTTAAATTATCTTGATTTGATCTTCTTTTCTCTTTCTGGTTGTTGCGTGAGGGATAAATTCTCATACTTTTTTTTTCTTTGGATGCAATTCTGTCTTCAGTGAATAAGGTTCTCTCTCCTTTGCGCGTGTCCCGTTCTCTTCTCCAATCCTCCACATACACAAATCTACCTGAGATTCTTCTTTTCTAACCCAAAGAAGTATACCCATACACATTAGTAAAATGGAGGTCAAGCTGGCGAATGACAAGCGTGAAAGAGAAATGTATGATAGTTTTGCCGAACTTTACGCCATTATAAAGACCACCGAGAAGCTTGAAAAGGCATATATTCGTGATGTGATCTCTTCATCGGCGTATGAGACTGAATGCCAAAAGCTCATTGCCCACTTTAAGACTTTGGCTTCCACGCTTAAAGACACCATCCCAAGCATCGAGCGCTTTGCAGAAACATACAAGATGGACTGCCCAGCAGCTATAAACCGCCTTGTGACCTCAGGGGTGCCTGCCACAGTGGAGCATCGGGCTGCTGCAGCTGCCTCCATGACTTCCTCAGCTGCTGCTGTGGCAGAATGCACACAGAATTTCATCACTGCAATGGACTCATTGAAGCTGAATATGGTTGCAGTTGATCAGGTGCACCCGCTGCTCTCGGACCTCTTAACGTCTCTGGGTAAGTTGACCTTTCTGCCACCAGACTTTTTGGGGAAGGTGAAGTTGAAGGAGTGGATTGCAAGATTGTCAAAGATGGGAGCGGCCGATGAGTTGACAGAGCAGCAGTCTAGGCAGCTTCATTTTGATCTTGAGTCGTCCTACAACTCATTTATGGCAGCTTTGCCAAACTATGGTACTTGACACAGCTACTTGCAAGAACCTCAGTGATCTCTCAGAAGGGATTTATTAAATTTCTACTGCATATATAATATTTTGGGTATGCCTGAGTTCTGAACTTAGTAATTAGTATTGATATTTTGTGTCAATCATGCCAGATATGATTTTTCAAGCTACATTGTAGGAAGTACTTCAATTTGGTTACTTGATTCTTAATGGTATATGATCTCAGTGGCTTGATTGAAATGAAATGCTCAATATCAGGCCATTTTGTGAAAGCAATTTGTTTGATGGATGAGTGGCTGTCCTCTGTACAAAAATGAATAGTTTTTCTACTTTTTTTTTAAGCGTGGTGATTTTCCCACTCCAATTTTATCCACTTACACTCCATTTTATAACTAAAAAAGAAGAGCAAGTGGATAAAATTGAAGTAGGGAAATTATTGCCCTTTTTTTATTGTGCCATAAGTTAACAACCACAGGCTTCTCGAAATCTGAGTTTGGTTAGGTGCACCAAACTGGGGCCTTATTCAATTAAATTAGCGTTTAGAATCTTAGATAGGTGCACTAATTGTGGCTTTATTTGTGTTGTTTTAATGCTGTTTGGAATGTTGGTTGTAATATTACAGGGTCATTCTATAGTGAGGGCCTTAGATGAGGTCCATCTCTTAGTTGTTGAATCAAATTGGTTAGCTGTTTAATCAAATTGGTTAGTTTGATTCAACGGTAAAGAGATGAAAACTCATCTAAGGGCCTTAGATTTGGCCTTCACTATAGAATGACCCTGTAATATTAAATATCAGAATATATAGCTCATCCCAACCGTTTTCTCTTAATAGATTCATCAAACTCAAAAGGGTGCACAACTTTAACATTTGAGAGTCTTGGACAAATTGTAAGAAACTGGGAAGAGGCGGGGAGAAATGCAATGTCATTCATAGAATGAGATAAAAATCAATTATAACAATGTCTACAACCCTCGCATAAGAATTTCATGTATTTACCCCATCTGCAAATTTGGTCGCTTTCATGATTGGTGGCCCAAGAGACTCAAAAGCTTAAAGATGCCCAAATGTGAATGAACGAACCCATTGAACCTCCATATCTAAGTTTGCTATATTTTTGTGTCACAAATGGAGTTTGTGAGACATTGAAACATCACCCCTCGAGAACCAAAATTTTTTATTTATGTATTTTTTTTTAATATCTGAACTCGTGCAAGATCTAACTATGTTCCTATTGTTAGAATCAGAATAAATGCATGCATTCAGAGTTCCAATTAGAACAAAGTAAAAGTCTCCCCCATTTTCATCTTCCTACAACATATGAGGCAAAACTTGAATCAAAATCGGAATTAGGAGGAGAATGACGAGGACTATTCCAAGAATTATAGCAATGCATGTCCACTTCCTTGATTTCTTCTGCTGTTCTTTGGCCTCTTGAAGATTGTCGGTGCCGCGTCTGACAAACGAGCTAGCATGCATGACATGGCTCTCAATGTCATTGAGTTGGTGACCCTGTGCTTCAACCAGAGCAGCCATGTCCAAGAATATCTGATGGAGCTCAATCAAATTCTTCTCAATCTCCTTCACAGCATCATGTCTTTCTTGCATTTCTGATATGGTGTCCAAAATCTGACCTCTCCCCTGTTCTTGAATAGCCTTCTGCAGGAAGCTCTCACTTTCTCCACTCGATATCAAATTTTCGATAGTTTCCTCACTCGCTTTCTCTCCGGTTATAGTAAAATACCTGCGCTCTATTGTTTCTTTATACTCAGCTGTCATTCTACCTCTCAATCCCTGAAAGTCATCCATCATGTCCTTGAGTTTCTTCCCCAAACCACTAACCACTGAGGTCCTGGTTCGATCCGCGGAGGAGCCAGGGCCACAACCAGGAAGGTTTCTGTGAGTTGCGTTGGAACGCTCCAAACCTTCAAGCTTGCCCTTTATGATTTTGACCTTCTTGAGGACCTGCTCGACATCCAAGTCCATGCGGGTTCGGAGCTCTTTCATGGTTTTAGCATTGTGCACAGTCTTGCTCTCTTCATTGGCTTCTTGTAGCTGCTTGTACAGCTTATCAACCTGTCTCATGTCCTCCTTCACATTCTCGACATCTTCGAAGAACTTGTCAAGATTAATAGTCTCCTTCCCGGCCTCCATATCGTCCAGGTAGGCCTGCTGTTTCAGGTCAGTGTATTTCTTGAACGAGCTCGAAAATAAGTCGTTCATCTTGGCGTGATGATGATATTATGTATCACTCACTCTTGTTGATCTTCTGCAAAATGGGTTTTCCTTCCTTTTCTTTATGTCTCTGAAAAAATGGAGTGGACAACAAACGAAAAGTGCATTAAAAACCATGCATATAATTAAGCTAAGCTAATCAAATCTCTCCTTCATGTGTTCAAAGTGTTTGTAGGGCTTCTGCATCCTCCTCTGCATCACATTGATGAGGAGGAAGACAAAGGAGGTGACAAAAGCAGAAGCTGTCACCAAGATATGGACGAAAGTAGAAGTTTCCTTATTTTCGGTGAGGGTGGATGCATTTGCGGCTTTGGATTAATTGCATATGAGGACCACCCAAATTAAGTTAATTAAACCTATAAGGCCGTTTAAGGATGGGTGTACAGTGGCTCATGGGTTAGTTAACAGGTAGCTTCCTATTTTTTTTCATCTATTATAAAAAGGATATACAGTTTGGTTGACTTGGTCGTACATTTCTCTCCTCCCAATCATATAAGAGACTGCTAGTCTGGTAAAGATATTTGTGGATCATAGTGTAACCCACTTTTCTGAACCTGCCCTAATTATAAATGGATAGCAACAACTAGTTATAATGAACCATTTTGTATGGTTAATAAGCCCATAAAGATAAAAACCTAAGGACGGAAATAAAATCAGATCCAAATAAGCCGAAGTTGCCCATCTAGATTTACGAGTAATTATAGTGTAGTACAGTAATACATAACAGAGATAGATTATGTAATTTATGAAGAAACCAAAATAAAATAATTCAGCTTGGACCACTTCAAGGGAAGTTTGATTCAAATATATATATATATATAAACAAAACTAAATGAGGTGAATGCAATTTCTATTTTACTAGGCCGAAAAAGGAGATATTTAGTTACATCCTCAAAGTCATTGCATCAAGGCAGCGAGGTGAGCTTCTAAAATGAAACTAAATAGCTTCAACCTGCCACCCACTTCAGTTGCATTTATCGTTTCCGTATTAAAAATAATAAGGCTTTCATGTCCGCTTAATTTTACTTTAGTGACGACAACATTCGCAGAATCACATTATAGTTTCTCAACCAAGTTGCCCTCTTCCCACCTCTCTTCTTTATGTACAAACCTGAAGATGCGAGATCCCATGTGGATGAATGTACAACAAAACTATCTCCAGTTCGGAAAAGCCCCGCGTTGCTCATGACTGACATATCATTGTACAGAAGAATGCACTAATGTTATCCCGTCGCAGTCATGGATGCTGAGGCCTTAATGGATAAAGTTGCAGGACAGTCGTTGCCACCATCATGATTGCTACTTCCGAGGGTTACACCATTGCTGAGGGGTTCCCCCCCACCGGCTTCACCTCCAACTTGCTGTGACCGATTGCCTGATGAATTTTCACTGCCACCAGAACTTGACAATCTCTGTTGCTTGAGATACCTTTCTGTGGCATCTTGGAGCAACTTCATCATGCTGCCAGAATCGGAGCCAGGTGACAGCTCTTCCTCCCGCTCTGGCTGGATATTCAGGTCAATTTGGCCTTTAAAAGGTGGGGTTGACGATTTCGTCCTGTTGAGGTCATCATCAGAAAGTTCAAGGACCTCCTTTTTCTGGTTTGGACTACTGCTTCCTGCGTTACAACATATGGGGGTGTCGTCGTCTAGTTTATCAATCACTACTAATTGCTGCTGCTGCTGCTTTTTGCGTGTACTTTCTGCTTCTTTTTCTGATTGTTTCTTCTCACGCCGCATCATTAATGTACGGAAACGGCGCTTCACTGTTAAGCATACATTACAGGTGCAGGTTTGCTTGTGTTTTGGACCCTTCCCACTTGGGGGTTGGATGCAGACAATGCATGAGCATCCAGGTCTATGTCGGGGGTGCTTTGTGGTGGCTTGAGCTGATGCTGGGAGTGACTCACCCTCTCCCAAGATAGCGAGGTTTGCAAGTGTGTCAAGCCCTTCCAGAGCTTCAATGTTATCTGGGTCCTGTTTAGCAGCCTTCATTTTCTTGGAAGTAACTGCCCAAGCAGAATATAAAAAAACAATGATAAGCACATGCATGATGTAAGAGAAAAAAATTCAGGTATGAAAGGAAAGAACCATTTTAAACATACGCAGGCAAACATATGAGAATGGGACCCAAAGCCAAGTTATGACACATTACTCAATGAGCTCTGGATTACAATAATTGTCTCAAGCAATTCATACCTGTACTATGGGAAGGTAGAAGATCTTCAAGCTGTTCTGCTGTCAAATCTTGCGCTGCTGAACACGAAGATCTGGTAGATAATTTTGAACATATAAAATGTAGTTTATCCATATGTGCACGTCCTTGGAGTTCATATCAATTTAAGGTGAACTTACAGAAAATGTCCATTTTACCTTTCAGGGTCCCATGAATTATCAGAACAAGTCCATTTAGAGGGTAGAAGTGCATTCATAGGCAGTTTGCGCCATTTGAAACAATCTTCGCATTGAGCCCATTGAATCTTCTCACTGGGAAGAATGGAAAAAATCATTAGATATGGAGATTAACAGATAGAAATTATAATAAATTAAAATAAAATAGACCAAGACAAGGTCTGAAAAGGAGGAAACCCCAAATACTGTCTTCCATGCATGGTGCAAGTTGGAGACACCATTTAACCAAGATTTTTTTTTTCTAATTGGAAAAACAGCATTTTCTTACCTTGAAGAGTACAAGGCAAATCAGTGAAAACAAAAGGCATACCATGTATAATCTAACAAGAAGAAAATAACCAGACAGCCCTAAAAAAAATCCCCATTAGGATCTTCAAAATATTCCAGAAATCTAAAATAATTATAAAAATTTCACCCAGCAGCAGCACCTAGGCACAAAATTTTTTGAACCACAAACTTATCAATAAATTTTCTCGATAAATATGCAAAAGTTAACTAAAGCATTAAAAAGTAACACAGAAAACTAATATAGAAGTCTTCAGAAACAGATCTTAGCACTAAAAATGATTTACCCTGCACTGCCCGTAGCATAAATTGTTGGCATCCCAAGAATTGGAGCATCCTGTAAGAAATAGCAGATGTCAGAATCCATAATGGAGGGATCCCAACCCTATATTCAACATGATAACATAGTTAGAAGACATAACACATGAAAAACTACAAAGATACAATGAAAGATGTAACACTGCCATATGAGCACCAAGAGGTATTTCCCGCTTTATGTGAGGAAGCTTTGATTCAACATTTGACATGGGGTTTTTGGGTTCGGGACGGTTGGGAAATAGGTGAGGGCAGCCCTCATTATATAACCCGCTCGTGTCATTCAGCCAAAAAATGAACAGAAGTATTCACAACTTGTAACAAGTTTGGTAAAGACCCAAACCAAGAGAAGGATTCTTGCATCCAGAAAAGAAGAGAGGGGAATCACTAGCAGACCAGAAAACTCTACAAGTATAAGATCACAAGCTTTTATAAAGTAAAATTTTCAAAAGCCACTTTGGAATTATTCAAGTAAAAGCTGTCTGAAATAAATAAATAATTTTTTAGTTTTGGAAGTCAGTATCGAAATGGCGTACAAATAAAGTGTATCAATGTAGTTCCATCATAACAAGATACGATACTAAGAATTCTTCACGGTTCTCATCACAAGATACAGAAGTTATTGTACCTCGTTACTTTCTGGGGGCACTTAGCAATTGTGATGTATTAGAAAACAAATCCATGTAACAGTTGTGGTCAAAGGGAAAGAATACAGACATCATAGTGAATTGGATTGCACACACACATCAGAGTGATTGAACAAGAAAAATTATGAGCAACATTTGGCAATGTAAATCCTATCAAAAAAGTAATCATAATTAACTATGTACCTCATATTCCTCAATCTCAAAGCCTTCAATCACCACAACAGTAGGTATATGGTTAGCAGGAGCGCGAAGCAGGCCTTGAGCTTCTTCCCATGTTAACTTCAGTTCTATCAGGTCTTCATTTTCAATTTTCAGGCGCTTACTCTTAGAACCCAAGGTACTGTTCTTCCTTTTTCTAGAGATCAAAGACTTAGATCCCAGTGCTTCTTTTGCTATGTAACCAGACTTATCAACTTTAGACCATGAGCTAGGATCTGCCAATTCAGCCTGGTTCATTGATGAAAATCTAGGTGATTCTGTACCATATTTAATGCGACATCTGAACCATTTTTTATATGACAAATATTGAAAAAACTTAACCAGAATTAGTTTCTGTTACACTAACATCTGCAAGGGCTGAAACTCCATTGCTTGCCTTGTTTGTCTCGTTTTCCTAAAAAGCAAACATAAAGTAAAAGAAAACGAAGCCTTAGTAGTAGACCTTACAGAAAACCAAATGCAAAGATTCATATAAAGGAACAAAAATGCATTCAACAAAAATTATCAAGTAATTCAAAGCAGACTCAGAAACAAAATACCATGGTCATCCAACTTAACTGATGTGCATACTGGAAATATAAAATACTGCCTTTTAATATGGTTACCAGTTGCCATTTATCCACTTAAATCACGCATATATCGCCAATCACAACTAAAAAAAATAGTCACAAGGAAATAGGTGTTGAGCAGCAAAAAAACCTGATCAGATGGTGGGGCAGTTGAAGCCTTTCTGAACCCCATAACCAATTTCCCTTCTGGCTCCAATCGACTAAAGGTTACTGATAAAACAGAATAACTCTTCAGTGCCAACGTGAGGGAACAAAGTAACAAGATGGATTAAATCATAGTAAGCTGACAACACACACACAGTAGGGAAATTACTAATACATACACAGATCATATATATATATATATATATATATATATATATAGGGGCATGAAAACAAGAAATTACGTAAGGAAACATGGAAGACACTCTTCGAGAGCATAATAAGCCAAAAATGCAAGAATTCAGAAAACTAATAAGATTGAACTAAATCCAAAAGAACTACTTAAATAATTGCTGGCAGAGTCCTCGCCAAGTTTAAGCACGAACAAGGTACCATTTAATAGAAATTTCTCCAGTGATATAAGATCATTACCTATGTCGCCTGCCTGCAATTGCATGGACTGTATGCACGGAGTAACCCCCTCCAGAACATACATTCTGCTATTATTGTTGGGCCAGAAGCGAAACTGAAATACCCATTCCTTGCCTTTTGAATCCTGAACTTTAAGAGGTAACCCTTCAGGCTGAGAAATTGGAGGAAAGTAGGCCTGTCTCGTAGGGAAATAATGTTAATTGATTATGAAATAATAAACTGTG